ATATCACACAGCAAAACGAGCTGCTCAACATCCCAGATATCACACGACGCAGAACTTGCTGTGTTACAACAGCCAGGCTTAGAACTAACATTCCTCAAAGGATGGGATTTCCCAAAATTTCCACGAGGTTGAAAACCCCCCGGTGTGATTCTGCACTGATCACAGATTTGGGGAACACCTGGAGCGATAAGCTCTGAATATAAACATGCAAAAGTGTTTTAATTCTCCCCTCAGACACAGCTCCAACAGCACTCAAAGCAGATCTCTATTTCTATCTGTTCAAAAGGGATGAATCCCCATCTCTGAGCTCACCAGTGTCCATCTGCCAGACGTACACGGAGCCATCTGAACATCCCACCACCAGGTAGTCATCGGAGGGCCTCCATTTGATCACTTGGATTGGGAAGAGGTGGCGAGATGCCAGCATGATGCATTTCTTCTCCCTCAGACTCAGCAGACCCACCGAGTGATCGCTGGCAACGGAGCAAATGCAGTGCTGGACTCTTGCCTAAATCAAGGAAAAAAGAGAAAAAGCTTAATCATAATGCAGAAAATTGGTATTGAAAACTTTCCCCCCACTGGGCCAAGCAGAGTGACCAAAAACCTCTTTTATAAACAAAACTCTGAGAGAAAAACTCGCAGAGAACTCACACTGCAGTTTTCCGGTGGAACAAGCAGCTGGGTGATTTCTCCCCCGTGGACACAGAAGATGTGCTTCATCTCTCCCGAGAARATATCCCAGATGATGACAGAGAAATCCACCCCGCCCGAGATCAGGTACCTCTGGTCGTAGCGGGAGGAGACCTGGTGAGGGTACAGCAAACACGTCACCTTGTTCCGGTGGCCTCGGAGCGTCCGGTGAGGGGGCCAGCCTGGRAAGAGGAAAAACAGAAATTCAACAGAGCAATCACTGTTTGCTCAGATCCCAAAGCTATGAAAATMATGTTATATAGAAGCACATATCCAATGGAACCTTTACCCTTGGAGATTTCCACCGGCACATTAACACCCAACAACGCAGCGCTATGAACAATTCTGGAGGTTCACCAATGGAGCTATTACTCCCCAGATTTGCAGCATTTCTAGAACCCAGTGCCTACCCCTACGCAGCATGTGCTCCCCCTGCAGCAGCTGCACGATGGCAGTCTGTGTGGCAGGCACGATGACGATGCTGCCGTCCTCGCGGCCGCACACCAGCCGCCCGTGGGCCGGGATGTAGACGCTGGCCGTCACCCGCAGCGGCTCGCTGGCGTTGGGAATGATGCTCAACTGGTCTATGATCCCGGCAGGACGAGGCCTCAGCTGGTCAAAAGCTTCCTGCAGGGATATGGAGGTGGATGTTTGCAGGCCTGGGGAAAAGGAGGGACAAGGTCACGAGGATTGGAGCGACCGCCGCTGCAATCGGGGGCTCAA